CAGAACTATGCTGCAGTCACATTAGAGTTTGAGCATGCGATATTCTGTCGTGCGGTGCTGCGAAAAGGGGCGGGATTAAACAGGATTATTAGGCATTAATAAAGCGAGCGATTGCTTCATGTTATACATTTATGTCCAGAGAGGTCATGTTTTGATCCTCGATTGCTCTCATGCAGTCAAGTGATGCGATTTCGCGGGTCAGAGTTTACCAAGCTTGAACTTCGCACCACAGAAACCTGCGAAACTTGACGCATGACCCTGCGTTTCCGGTCTGACAAATTCTCGTGCGTATGAATGGAAGTCTATGGGAGGAAAAGCCCAGTGTGACCACAGCTTCAAGACAGATAATATTTTAAGATTACACTTATTTTAAAGTGTTACAGTCGAACTATTCATTTAACTACTTAGTAATAGCAACTAATTACTTTATGATTAGGGTTAGAATGTGGGTTAAACTTTAGAGTTAGTTGCATGTAATTATGCATAACTAACTGTAATTTGTAAGCACACAGAACACTTGTAACAACAGTTAATAAAATAAAGTGTTGCCAATTTTAATGAATAAATCAAATAATTTAAAGCACACACTCTTAATGAAGTGCTCTCAGAAAATTCTTCATGCGTTCATTCCTTTTCTTTTTGGCTTAGTCACTTTAATAATCTGGGGTGGTCACAGCGGAATGAACCGCCAACTTATCCAGCATATGTTTTACGCAGCGGATGCCCTTCCAGCTGCAACCCAACACTGGGAAACACCCTTACACTCTCATACACACTCGTACACTATAGCCAAATTAGTTGATCAATTCCCCTATAGCACATGTGTTTGGACTGTGGGGGAAACCGGCCTGATCTCACGAGAAAACGTAAGTATTTTACGTTTTGCCAGTTTAGTGACTAATTTGTACGATTTTAAAAAGGAGGCGTGGCACCTAACCCCACCCATAACCCCAACCGTCATTGGGGGATGAGTAAATTGTAGTAAATTGTACGAATTGGATCGTACGAAGTCATTCGAATTAGCCACTAAATCAAAAAGTTACGAATTGCTGTGAGATTGTGTTGGGGAAACCAGAGGACCCGGAGGAAGCCCACGCCAACTCCGGGAGAACATGCAAAAATTAGACAGAATCATCATGTGCAAACATAAAAGGCGTCATCACCATTCAAGTATTGAAGTAAATAATATAAGATTAAATCTGCTTGAGTCTGAACTCACCTTCTGTCAGAGAGAGAGAGAGTGTATACTGTGGTCATACTAATCCCACACACACACACATACACACACGTCTCAGATTACAGATGTGAGGATTCTCAGGGCTGGTTTCTCTGAACTGGCTTCATGTCACTGTTAAAACTGACAGACGATGAGATTATTCAGACATCATTTACTGCGAAGAAAGAAGATTCTAAAAAAAAGCATGCCCCCCCCCCCCCCCCCCCACACACACACACAGACTGTGGGATTAGGTGTGTGTTTATGTTGTGTAACTAAGGTTAAGTCCATTGTGATTGTAAAGAGCAGTTATGGAGTCACATGTCGGCGTCTGCGACTCTCAATCCTCCGCATGAACAACTGCAATCATTAAATACATCCTTTCTGCTCGAGTCTCCTCCAAATCCTCTGAAAACAGACAGAACATCACTCAGAACTACCCTGCAGACAAACTTCATGGTCAGTCAAAGACGAGACGATCAGGGAAATTTGCAGATATTCATAAACACACACATCAATAACAAAAGTTACACATATTAAAAAAGTCATATATAATAAATACCGTAGTGTTTTAACCAAAATACAGTGAAGTACTTGAACCAATCTGTGGTCATTCTACAGTTGCTATAGTAACAACAACAACAACATTGATAGATCTGTTGTTGGGTTAAGTGTCTAAATCAAATACATGGCCGGCTGGAAGTGCCATATGCACATTAATATAGCAGCATTTTTTTATAACACTGTATAACAATAATTAGCACAGTGCGCTCATATATATATATATATATATATATATATATATATATATATATATATATATATATATATATATATATATATATATATATATACATAGAGATACATATAGAGAGAGAGATATATATATATATATAGACATATCTGTGT